TATTAAAAGTTTACTGTTTTACAAAAAAGCTGAAAAAAATAGTAAAATGCCAAATTACAGTTATTTATTTTCATTCCTGAAAAAAGAAAAAAATAGTTTCACAGGTTGAAAGCAAAGCTTGTTATGCTAATTTCTGACTTCTCGGTGAAGTTCACTTCACCGGCTCACATTTGGGTATAAAACGTAATTGCCTAATACATGACAATATAAACAACATAATTCATCAGTATAAACACGTTTTTCACTAATTTCCAAAATATATTTGTGTTTTCTTCTTTTTATGACAGATATTAAAATAGCCCTGTATGTGCACATAATGTACAGATGTTTACGATAAAGTACATTCACTCCAACCTGATGTCCATTATAACACTTTGAAATATTTGCATAATAGATATTGCTAAGCTCTTGGAAAGTTAAGTTTCTACTCTGCACAATGTTTTAATGACTTTGAGGATTAATATCATTGGAATTTCAAAGTGTTTGAAAAGGAAATTATGGAAATCCCCAATGAATTACTCCGCATGCTCCAATGGAACAACATTTTTCATATACACACAGAAAAACACTGTGGTAAAAATTCTTAGAACTCTAATGTGAACTTTAAAAATATATACTATGCAAAACATGTAAATTTCATAATAAAATAACTTTTACACTTTGACTTGTACTGTTATACAATTCTTCACATAAAGGCTACAGTCCTGTCATGCATGTTCACCTAGCTGCTACATAATTAGTGCAGCCCAGCGAGAAATGAGCAACACGTTACTTTTCACAGTGGATTAGACACAGTCATGTCCAAACGTTGCTTTGCTCAGTAATCCTGATTAACTAACACAGCATGAACACCTCCAGCTGCTTTTGCTGGCAAATGGAGCCCGCAACTTTGACCATGCAACATACATAATGAGCTTAAAACCAAATGCGAGGAGTTTGCCAGGAAGTTTTCCAAGGCCTTGTTTACTGTCTCACCATTTGTGTGCAAGTGCATTCAAATGGTGAGACGCATTAGTGTTTCCTGTGTCTGTACTTTTAAATCTGTTAGCTGTAGCAGATAATGTCTAAAAGCATCCAAGAGCTTTTCAGATATATGCCACAATGGCACTCATTTCACTCTCCCCCTCCTAATTATGTGTGCTAATACTGAAGTTAGAAGAGCCAACATGTGCACCTGCACACAATATACATACATACACACAAAACTGCTACAAAATATGAGTCATTTTATGACCAGGGGACAGACTGCATCTGAATAACAAAATGAGAAAAACAGAAAAACTGTACTAAACGAAATTAATTATTGATTTCAACCCACAATAAATGTTTAACAATATTTTCAGCTGGCCATGGAAACGGGTTGTGAACGTAACATTGATATGTCATCATATTTTAGGTTCACATGGCAAAGTTCTGCTTAAATTATTGCCTATCTACACATTCAGCAGTTATGATGTGAAATAAGCTCTCTTTTTTGGAGTCCCAGACTAATATTTTTAATATTTTGGTGTCCACCAAAATCCTGTGGTAAACACGTGACTCATGCTGCAAAGTGCATGTATAGATTTTTAAATATTAGGGGAGCTGCTCATATAGTCGATACTAATGTAGAGCCTCATTAACACGCTGTCTCACTTTCGGGACCTAATATCCGTACACATATTCTTAATACTCAACAATATGTTTGTACACTACATTTGTTTAGCTTTATTATTATATAGTGGTGTTTTTGACTTCACACACTCAGCACATTTGATAAAGTAATTTCACTGATGTACTTACTTGAAAATAAAGCGTGTATACAACTCTGGACAATGATGTGTATACAGCAGAGTCAAGCTCCAGTGAGACTCCAGCTGGCGTGAAAAATCCCCTGATTGAATAAACCTGCTCTATTAACTTCTGCTTCATAAAAAGATAAGTGAAATTTAATTACAGTTTGGGTGGCAGATGGCAAGAGTGAGAATACATGGCACCAGTACTATTCCCTGGCTCGGTGTTGGTGTTGGTTATAGGGTGTATCAGCGAAACGCTGGCATCGACGCAGAAATGGAGACAGAAGGAGCTGAATTTCAACTACTGGCACAACAGTAAAACTGATAAATAAATATGAGGAAAATCACACAGTGGCAGCAGCTCTGAATTACTGTAGACTGGATTCTATAAACTGGCATCCATACACAAATGCAAAGTTAATAGCAGGAGAAGAAGAGTTCACTATAAAAGCTGGCAACTCCCTCGTGATCTAAACTAGAGCCCAACCAGTACTGGATATGTGCTTTCAGACACAGGAAACAAAAACAGATTTCCCTTTCCTTTCCCTTTAAGTTATGAGTCCTGAGTAAGATAATATGACAATGCAGCTTAAAAATACAATACATAAAATTAATTGTAACGGCGGGGTGCGCCGGTGTGTTTTTTGAAACAGGACCTAAAAGCAGATGTGGACGAGGAGTTGCAGGTTTAAACAGAAAGCGATCCTTTATTTGGATGATAGCAGGAGTTAAACATGGAACCCTAAGCAAACTAAAAAAACACTAAGAAACAAATACTATGAAGTGCTATGACTATAACAGTGACAATGTTGGAGATAACAGACGACCTGACAACGACATTCAGAAAACAGAGGACTTAAATACACACATGAGGTGATCAGGGGAAGTGGAGACATATGAGAACACAGCTGACTCGAATGAAACATAATGACAATACAGGGGAGAGTAACACTAACTACAATGAACAAAGAACACCAGACTCTTACAAAATAAAACAGGAAACACAGAGACATAGACATGGAGATAAAACATGACATGAACTTAACATAACCACATAGACATGAAACATAGACGCAGGAACCAGGGAGACTGGGTATGGGAACTTATGACAGCTGAATTTATAAAAATGTAGAGAGGTAAAGTTTGTGTTACCAAAAGAGAATCAAAATCTTGAGAGAGGAGAGGCAAACCAACACACACTCCTGCCACCATAACAATTTTACATACTTGCTCGCTTCAAAATATGAACAGGTAGAAAGTTACACGATGGAAAGTAAACAACAGAAGGAATAACTGTGAAGCCTCATAAACTATGTGTGTCACAGCCAATTGCCTCCCTCGGGAATCTGGATAACACACAAGAGATTTGAATACTTTATACAGTGGACTTATGGTACTCCCAGATGGTGTGTGTGTGGTTTTGTGTGTGCGTGTCTGAAAGTGCTGATTTTTTTGTGTATTTGTTTCACGCTGACATACATCAATGAACTCCAGTTAAAATCCCTTGTGTGTGTTCAGCATAAATGCTCACTCGCAGTGAGCTTGGGGACTCTCAAAAAGCTCTGAAGCTAATTTTTCCTGTTAACATCCCATAGGGACTGAATAAAGCCTCATGAAACCCACGGAGACACAAACAGAGGTACAATACCTTGCTCACCTTTACATCTGTCCCATCTGTTTGCTTGTATGTTCATGCACCACCAATTTGAATCGCAGTATTTTCACAGTATCTTTGTGTTCTAAATGCCGTTAGATGAGTTGTAGTAAGGAAAGTCTAGTCTTTGAAATGTTTATGCAATATGAGACTGAGTCAAAGTGAAATCCTTGGAAAGACCTTGGTGCATACACTTGAGAGCGGGAGCGCAGAAGTGACTGTTAAGTATGTGTTACCACTCCAGTGGTATCCTCTGCTCGAGACATCACTAACAGGGTAACGACAGAAGTATGCAAATTCTTGGCTTAGCATCTGTTAGAGCAGGACTTTGTATGGACATGTCTGAGAGTGTGTGTGTGTGTGTGTGTGTGTGTGTGTGTGTGTGTGCGTGCGTGCGTGCGTGCGTGCGTGCGTGCGTGCGTGCGTGCGTGTGTGTGTGACCTGGTTCTCTCATTCATCGTGCCCCCGAAGAAGGTTGCAGCTGTCCAGCCATGGGAGGCAACACAAGCTGGCACCGACAAAGATCACTACTCTACCCTTAATTTCACCTTCTTCCTCATCCTCCTTTCATGGCCCTACAAACAACTTTCCCCTCTTTACTTATACTCATGTCTTTCCTGCTTGTTTTCATATTCTTTCAACTTGCTTCCTCCTCTTCCTCTTTCCTCTAACAGCTTTTTCTTTTATCCCTACCCCAGTTCCTCACTCCTCACTTATCCTTCCACACTGTCTGCACTTCATCAGTCAGAAATCTATTAAATCTCAAGAGGGCAGAGATAGAGAGAAGGGGAATTAGCAGCTTGACATTTGCTGACAAACACACTAAATGTGCATGCTCAAGGAAGCACAGATGCACATAAAGTGACACGGGGAGATACTAAAACTACTAGCAGACAGCCAGCGAATCTGTTGCTTTGTAGGTTAACGGGATAAGGTCAGCGTCTTTGAATCTGTACCCTCATCTTTCAAAAACCCTTCAATGATTCCTGAACTTAGCTAAATATATTTCCTTTGATGTCTAACAAAATGAAAACAGCTTTTGTTCAGATTGATTCTAATGGCAAAAAAAAAAACAAAAACCCGGCCCTGACCTTAGATTCAGTTTCATAACGAGGTGAAATAAATTCTTTTAAATGTATCATTGCTTTGAAAGGGAAGTGAACCAAGAGGTCGACTGTATTCTTTCTGAACCTCAGACTCACTAAGGAAATTGGCACTCACAAAGAGATTTCCTAGAATACTTAAGGCAGGCTTTTACGTCATTGTTCACTCTGATACAAAATATCACTCACTTGCAAATACACTTGACTGTAGAAAATCTATTCTGCTGTGACTTTCAGGTAAACCCTTCATAATTACATTACTCAAATGTCCAGAGCTGCTGTGATATGTACACACACAAATGCACACATGCCCACACACTTCCTGCTGCATTGCTTTGTCTTTCATTTGCTCTGCTTCTTGATCTTGTCGCCTACGATACCTGCTTCTGTGTTCTACTAATTTATTCTTCTTCTAGGGAAACATCTATTCTTCTTCTAGGGAAACATCTACTCTGGTTACAATCAAAGCCCGAGCCCAACAAAGAAACAGAACTGAATCAACAAAGCCTCATTGGAAATGCAAAGACTAGAGATGAACTGACCAGACGGTGCTCAACACATAAACAGGTGTGCAATTAAAAGTCAAACACACTCATCATGAGTAAAGATCCATAGTTCAGCAAAGAAAAGTGGGGGGGGGGGGACCACAAAAACTAGCAATAAATCACTTTCACCCAGCTGAACATAATCATTTCACAGAAGCTAGCGAAGGAAAAGTGGCTGTGACTCATCCACAAGCAGGCAGCCCTGGCAAGAGCCAAGGTAATGGGAATGAGTTTCACCTAATTTTGTTTGGTAAAGGAAACTATGTCAACTTACTGCAGTTTGGGGAAATTTTTAAAGATTAATCATTTATTTTATTACGAAAATAAACATTTTCCCTGAATAAAACTTGATTTTTGTTTGTACATGCTTAGAAAGAAAATCTGAATTTGTAAAAATCTGTATCTGCAGGTCACGCTTAAGGAAAAATCAGAATCGGACAAGAAAATTGCAATCAGTGCATCTCTAGATGGTATAATCAGGCACGGTCCTGCTAATGGGAACAGGGATCGTGTCAAAGACAAATGTTAGTGCTTCTTTTTCAGGGTCAGAGTCATTTAAAATCAGGCAGTGATTCCCTCAACAGACTACTGAGTGACCTTAATTTGAAATTTCAATGGAAACCAATCTTGAGCGTTAACAGTCAAAAAAAGAAAAGTGTGCGTCTCTGGTTAAGACTGAGCTTTAAATGCTAAATAAAATGTAAGAGATGCTGCCTTTGGCATTTTGTTTTTTTATTGTCATGATATCCAATTAGTAGTCAAGCATAAACACAGACCCACACAGACTGACAGGGAATACACAGATGCACATGGGTTTTTTTTAAACTTCCGTTTCTAATTATTGTGATAAACAGCTTTAGACAGCCAAGGCTAACTCTTACAAACGCCAGGACATCTGCTGTTGAGATAGCAGCGGCAGCATTTTGTAAGGCATACGCAGTTGAAGCAGCCACGAAGGCACGATAGAGGATAACAAATCCCCTCGGTGCAGAACAAGAAAGAAGAGCATCAATCACAGTGACAGAGGACTATTTCCACCCATGTTAACTTATTTTAGAGAGAGATGTGGGCAGAGAGAAATATTTTGGAAAGAGGACGCAGAATGCTTGCTCAGTCTGCCTTCTCACATTAATGCATTCATTCATCATTAAGTAAAAGAGTGTGAGTGTGCTCAGAGAAGGGAGAAATCAAGGGGAGTATAAACAACCAAAAGTTGTGGTTTTAAGAGTAACGTGCACCAAAAAAATTAAGCTGCAAAAGTAAGCTTTTAGATTACACCTTCAGTTTAATGAAGTACCCTTAATCCACAAGCAGCGTAGTCTTCCAGGCCTAATGTCTCGCTCATCTCAGGCGTGTCTCACTACCTTCCCTATTTTTAACAGTCCTTTGCTAATCCATTCTCCCTCTCCTTCCTTTCCTTTCTCATCTTACTCTTTGTCCTCTAGCACTACTGCATACATATCACTATAATCCCAATCATTCATCATCATCATTTCATCACCTTACTTGCTTTGGCTTCTTCGCCCTCATTTATCGTATGCAAGGATAAATGGCTGCCTTTCACTCACACACAGCCTCTGTCATGAATGGCTACTGTACAGCTTCAAATGCAACCTAAATGATACTGCGGTTAAAAGAAAATGCTGTTATAATCAAAGCAAAAAGACTTACCTTCTTCTGGTCTCTCCACTGTTGCTCCAATTTGGCATCCAGACGATTGGCAGCTGTTGCCCACTGTTGTGCAAGTCGCCGGATTCGCCGCTTCATAAAGCTGAGGGACTCCTTACCTGTCCCAACCTGGTCCAGCAACACAGAGAGGTCTGTACGGAAGGCAGCCTGGGAATGTGAGAATATAAAAGGTAAGCTGGTAACAAAATCAGGTAAAGTGTAAGATTTGGGTAGCACAGGGCTCACATTTTGAGCTCTGTGGTGCCTGTTTTTTTTTCTACAGCAGCATGGGTGTTCAAAGCTTTGGTTATACTGCCAGTAAACACCATAGCTATGAAGGTATGTCACGGTAATTCAGCAATACCTGCAAATGCAGGCTGGTAGCCAAACAATAAATAATTTTGCAAATGCTTTTCCTCCCATCTGCAGCACAGAGGGACTAAAATTCAGTCAGCTTTAACACTCATAACGTACTATTACGTACCAGTACTACTGTTACTAGTACTAAGTACCACACGTAATATTAAAGTACTTCTGTCAATGAAATATACAAGGAGCAGCTATGAGCAAATGCAGTCTTTCTAACTAATGCTTTGAGTTTTCTACTCTAAAAGCTTTGGTTCAGCAATGTTTTTATGAAACACAAAAATAGTTCAGTTATTTTTGTCAGGGAGTCGATTGGTCTTCATTTGTATTAGCATTCCGGTTAGTTTCTATAGATGTCGCTCTTAAGACAGTTATTAAAAGAAAGGAAAAGTGAAACTGCAAACATTGTGCAGGCATCACATTTTTAACTATTTCAAAGACTCGTGATGCGGTCTGAGTGAGAGAATGTGACTGAGAAAGGTGCCACTATATTCAGATTCAGTGCACAGTTCTGTCCTTGTTCCCTATTTTGAATTTCAAAATCCATAGTCCTGTATTACCACTGCGCAGATTTGCACCTGAAGGCACCGTCAGGTTTGCTGTCAGAAAATGTATTAATTTTTTAACATTAAAAATCAATCGGTATTAGCAGCCGTGGATGCTTTAATAGGCTTACTCAACTGTAAGGTTTCTTCTGAAGAAAAGGACTGTTAAATTCTTTTGACTGCTACTCTGGACATTTATTAACAGCTCACCGACCTCAGGCTAGTTTTTTACATTTCTGTTGTTACTAACAGCAGCCTGAAATCATAATACAAAGGCTGCACTTTCAGACGAAATGGCAGAGAGAGAAAAACAATTTTTTGAAAACACTATAATTATAGTACAAACATGCCCTATTTGTCAGTTCCAGCAGTTAACTAACACAATATTGCTTGTCTAAAGCCATTTTCCCTCTGTGGCACTCTGTTTTCCACCATCTTGACTCAACTTTCTTTCCTCTACAAAACTTAAAATTTGATTTTTTTTAGTTTTAAAATTAAAAAAGGTCTTGAATCAAGGACACAAGAAAGGTGAATGAAAGCAGATATTTCCAACCCTTAAAGTAAAAATCTTAGCAAACAGAAATCTGGATCACAAGTCATTTGCTATCTTAGGCTTGCACGGAATCAAAAGCTACTTCTCCAACAAGCACATCTTAATAAATAACTTACCAGCAACATCACCTCGCACTTTACATGCTTCCAGTACACAAGAAATCAGCAGAGCCTGCTGCTATCTTTGAGTCAGTGCTGCTCTGTCTGTCCTGCAGGAGATGCTTGTTATTAAGTCTAACTGACTGAGGGACAAATTAAAGTTTCATCCAAGAACATTTTATACCGAGGCAAGTAATTAACATTTAAGTATTCCATCTGCTGACCAGATGTTTGTTTAGGTGCCAACAGCGTGGGAAAGTGTTACAATAAAAGCCTTACAAGAAGTAAGTATCTACATATTGGTAACATGTTTTATTCATGTTATGAGACAAAAAAAAATCAGTTTCTTTGATGTTTCACTATAAATGTTCTCAACCACTGAAGTACTGGAAAAAACACAGTCAATACAATATATATGAACAGAGTGGCAGTACAGGCAATTTCTAATTTTTACTTCTTTCTTCTGGATTTTTTGGCCCTTATTTCACAGAATTTTACGAAATTACACATTTTTAAGCAACTGTGGCACAGATTCCCTTTGTGATTTTTATTAACACATCATCTTCACATTGCTGAGCTGGTGAGCCAAGCATCATCACTTGTGGGTTTATTGTACATTCATCAGGTGTCAGTTGGCATCCTGTGTTTCTAATAGCACTACTGCTCCCTTACTTGTCTCTTGGGGGACTTTGCTGGCTGTGTATGCTGGGTAGGGGGGCTGCTGTGGTTCCTCCAGGCCAGTGGGGGGCAGAACCACTCCACCTCACTCAGGTAGATGAGGAAAGAGCAGTCTGAACCATCAACACCATAGAAGGCATAGCAAGGATCTGATGTCCACCGTGCACGCATCCACTAGAGGACACACAGGAAGAAATATGTATACACACAAAAACAG